TTCACTGCTCCTCAGTCTCTCCAACCTGCCCTCCAGCTCAGCCACCCTCTGGACTCCCACTCGCCCTGCAGTGGCACAGAGGGTCAAGGAACCCCTCACCCTGGTGCTCCCCGAACCATGGCCTGGACTAGCCGTAACCTCACTAAGCCCCCAACCCTCAAAATGGGATAAAGCTATTGGCTGGGCAGGGCCCCGAGAGAATAGATGGTGGAGTCCCTCACTGGCCCGCTGCTGCTACAGTGTCCAGCCACCCTGAGCCTGCTTTGCACTCGGGCTGCTCCGGCCCAGCTCTAGTTCCTGTCACTACCTTGAGGTCTCGCTCCAGTCCCAACTCCTGGTTTCCATTCTTACCCCCAACACTGACGGGCCCGCCCCACCTTCCACTCCTGGAATCTGTGCTCATCCAGTGCGAGGGGGAGAAAATGAGGCTCACTACCCTGCAAGGCACCCTGTGCTGCGTGACAGTTTTAAAGCACAAACCCCAAACCCCAACAACTTTAAACATCAACTGCGTCATTGATCTTTAATCTTCATGTTCAAAATGACAAACTGAAAAATGAAGTGGAACCCAGAAATTCCAATTCTCAGGTCTAACTCCAAAGGCAGAACACATGATAATATAGAGAGGAAGGATTTGCTTAAACAGTTATTTTAGAACTGTACTCCTCAGGGCTGTATTGTAGACACTGGTAAAGGGCCAGTGACACCCTGTGATTTGTTCGTGAGCACAGAACATGACTCATCTGCAAGCCATTGCCCTACCCTGTAGCTCACAGTCTCCCAGGCACAAGCACACCCACACACTCATCTTTCACCCAAGTGCCTAGGAAACAGCAGGAGTGCATGGCTGCCTAGTGGTCAGGTCACTGTCCTCTTTCCTTCTCCCTCATACTCCATCGGAGGTGCTGGATGAATGGTGTCTTGCTACCATAAGAGCTGCCACCAGCCTGGATGCTGAGATCGTCTCCCCACATCAGAAAGTCAGGGTTCACTGAAGATCAGCCACGTTTAGCAGAAACTCTAACAGTGAAAGTAGGCAGGGACAGCTAGAGAGGCATCTGTAATGGGAGGAACCCTGGGGTACAAGGCCAAATGACCTAGTGGGAAAATCACTAGGTTGGAAAAGCGGGAACAGCACTTCCTCCAGGTAGCCCCCCCACACACACTTTCCATGCCCATCCCTCACTAGCACCAGGGTCTGAACCAGAGGCAGAAGCATTTAAGAGTGTGGCAGGCATTGCGAAGGCAAGCTCCTCTTCTTTGTGGAGCTTCCAGGAGGCTGAGAGCAGAGGAAGGAGAGCAGTTCTAGGGAGCGGGCACCTGGGCCCAAATCCTGCGTCACCACCTACAATCTCTGAAGTGGAGCAGCATCAAGCCACCCGAGAGCAGGGGCCTGGCACAGAGCAAGGGTACAATAAATGCTAGCCGTTATCACTGTTTCTTATTTCTAAGCTTTTTGTTGTAGGTTAACATTCCTGCAGAAAAGAACTCAGACTATAACCATATGGTTTATGTGCACACAGCTCGATGACTTATCAGTGTACACACCCATGCATGGGACACAACAAAAAGTCCCTGATCTCCTGGAGCCGCCTCACAGCTCTGGCATGCAGCCCACTCAGGAAGCAGAGGCCTCTTCTGCATCCTCCCAGCATTTGATCTGGGCCATTTAAAACTGACTACATCTGTTTTATTCATGCTCTATCCGCAAGGCCTAGAATAGGACCTGGCACAGAGGAGTTGTGCTATAAATGTTTACCGAATGATTTCTACCCAGTACTACGGTTATTTGTGTGCGTTTTTCAAAAAATATGTTTTTATTGATTTTAGAGAGAGCGGAAGGGAGTGGGGATAGAGAGAGAAAAACATCAATGAGAGACATCAATCAGCTGCCTCCTGCACACTCTCTACTGGGGATTGAGCCTGCAACCCTGGCATGTGCCCTGACCGGGAATGGAACTGCTAACCTCTTGGATCATGGGTCAGTGATCAACCACTTAGCCACACCAGCAGGCTTGTGTGCACATTTTAATTCCGAATATTTGTTTGTAAGCTCCTTCTGACCAGGGCATGTCATTACCCAGCATTAAACCTCACCCTTTCTCCAATTCACTCCTACATTTACTCCTACATGTTGCTCCTGTGCAGGCACACAGAAGACGGTTCTGGAATGGCCCACCCCAGTTTGTACCTTCTGGTAAAAAGGAGTAAAATTCAGCAAAAAGACTTTTCCTCTTCAAGACCACATGGCTTTCTTTAGATTTGTCCCTCTCCTGCGAGTCACACCATTGAGAAGTCGCCATGGGAAAGAGGGAACTTGCAGGAAGCTCAGGGAAATGTACAGCTGGTAGCAGCACCTACGTCACTCAGAGCGAAGCAGGGTGGGCTAGGCCTGAGCAACGGCTCCTCCACTCAGTGGCATCCTTCACACAGGAGGAGGGTGGCGGCACTGACTTACCATATAAAAGCAGACAAGTAATCCCAGGGACCCCATCACAAGAGGAGCAGAGCCCGCCTAAACAAAGACCCATTTGTCTTCGCTTTCTTCAGACAAAAGCAGATGTGCTTGACTCCTGACAGTATCGCAGCTAAGAATTTAGAAGGGAGCCTAAGAGCTTAAATCAAGGGTTTGTTAAAGCTACTTGAGTTAATATATGCTGATAACACACTGGCAGCTTTCACCTACATTTTTTCCTTTACCAAGCAGCTGCAGACTTCTGTAATGGCACTACGTTTAGCTTCTTCATTTTTCCAGAGCAGTTTCTGTCATCAGCTGGGTCATTACAAGGATGATGCCAAGTGTAGCCTGCAAGAACAGGTATGCCGTGTGCTGAAACCCGCATCTCCACAGCAGAGGGACAGGGCTCCCAGCCAGTGCCTGTTCCGACAGCCTACACCACTTTATATGCACTCATTCCCTTAACCCTCACATATGCTAGAATGTGGGCACCATCATCACCCCCATCTTACAGACTGGGAAACTGAGGCAAAGACAGATTAGTAACTTGCCCAAAGCCACATACACGTGAGTGACAAGCCTGGGAGTCAAACCCAGGTAGCCTGGCTCCAAAGCACGTGTCTGAACCTGCCCCACTGCCTTCCTAGGGGCCGGCAAGCAGGGTCTGCTTGCCCGTGAACCCAGACGTGTGCATGAGGGCAGTGGGGCAGTCTTGAATTTCAGAGGCACCTCCAAACTGCACCCTGTGACCACCAGCGCTAACAGCTCCATCAAATTTCACCACCAGCCTTCCCTGATGCAGTGAGAGTGCACCTGACAATGCCAGGAAGCAGGTGCTGCCCAGAGGCCGGGACATGCTCATGACTCTGTCTCTGCCCATCATCCTTGCTATCTTCTATGAAATGTCCCCTGGGAAAATGTGCCTCTCTGGCTACTGAAATTTGAGCTATGGCCCAGATACCCACCAGGAAGGCTGCTACCAACCAAGGGGCAGGGACAGAGGGCACCGGCACCTTCTGTGCCTTTTCATTTACTCTGATCCCACAGAGCCAGCCCATTGAGGGTAGGGACTCAAACTGTCACATTCCTTGTTGGAGCCTCACAGGGTCTAGCACACAGTAGGTGCTCAATAAACAATACTTTTTTTTTAAATCCTCACCTGAGAATATTTTTTCCATTTTAGAGAGTGGAAGGGAGGAGGGGGAGAGAGAGAGAGAAATATCGATGTGAGAGAGACACATTGATTGGTTACCTCCTGCACACACCCCGACCAGGGTGGGGGATTGAACTTGCAACCGAGATACATGCCCTTGACCGAGAACAGAACCTGGAACCCTTCTGTCTGCAGGTCGATGCTCTTACCACTGAGCCACACTTGCTGGGCAATAAACATATACTTTTAATAAAATGAAGTATTTGGCCAAATGTCAGTATGACTTTTTCCCCAATACATAGGAAAGAGAAGTGTTGATAAAACTTTGAGTTCCTTGTCTATCTTTTCTAAACCTGGCCACCTGTGATCACTTGTCTATTAGTCTGTATCAGATGGTATTGGTATCAGACAAAATTGTACACCTGATTATTCTAAGTTTATGAAAATCCTTCATGCTTGTCACCAGTAAGATCTAGGGCATCATCCTCATCTTCTGCAACCCTAGAGCATCCTGTGTCAGGAATGCATCTATGTGGGATCCAGTGTCTGCATTCTTACTTCATCTGGGCTGCCTCCCTCAAAGGCCAGTATCATCCTCTCATTACAGATGAAACCTTAAGGTTCAGATCAGTCAAGAAACTTGCCCAAGGTCACACAGCTCGTAAGGGCACAGCTGGCATCAGAACCTAGATCTTTCCAACTACAAACCCAGTGCTCTTTCCATGAAGCCCACAGCTGCTGGGTAAGTTAGAGGGGTTTTGCCATGAGAACAAAATCTGATCAAAACTTGGACTTCCCTTTAACCAGCAGACAGGAAAAGTGAGGCTCAGGAAGAGCACAGAGTGGCTACCAAAACCCACAAAATAATCTAATCAGGAAGGGAGTTCCTCATGGGCTCAGACAGACAAGAAGATGCTCCAAGCTCCAGGGCAGTTTGTTTAACCCTCTGGCCATTTGCCTGCACTGTCCAACATGATGTCACATCACCATCTGTTTTTATACACAAAACCCAAAAGCAAAACTGCCTTTCAGGCTAAGTCCAGTGATGAGTGTATTTCTCTCCAAGTCACACATGGCTGAACATGAAAAGGAAGATCAGAGAATGGACAAACTGACAAGACCTCTAAAACACCTCTAAACTATTTAGGCATCTGACTTGTCTAGCAAGCAAGTTTACCACCTTCACTGATAGCTCCACCATAACTGTTGCCACCCAGATCTGACCACAAACGCCCGGCTAGCATGGGGGTATGTTCATCTCACCCCACCCCAACTCTCTCTCTCTCTCTCTCTCTCTCTCTCTCTCTCACACACACACACACACACACACACACACACAAAAGTCTTGGCCTGGTCTCTGTATCATGGGGAAGAAAGCATGGGCATTACCTCCCAGAAGCTGTCGCTGGATACTTCTACTCCAACGGAATCATCGTAAGTGACAGACATCTCTCCGAAGGGTGAGGGAGCAGCACAGGCTGCTTAAATTCAGGTCAACTGCAGATGCTCCAAATCCGTAGACAAACCTATAACAACAACATATCATTGTGATTTTTAAATTCCAAGGTAAAAGCAAGCCATCCCCATTTATAATTTCCATTTCCATCACTGCCTGCATACAAAACAGTCTAAAATGTTTCCTTTAGTTGGGAGAAAGTTAATAAACTCTAAACTCCAGGCATGACATATATGAGTGTTATATATACGTGTATTTCACATTAACAAGTAAACCTCGACAACATCCTGTGCTGAAGAGCTCGAAGAGCTTTTGGAACAGTTCGTGTTCTGAGATGAACAGATGGATGCCCTCACTAAACCCTACTGCTCATCCCTTGGAGAATGAGAAACAGAACATGTGAGGAAAGCAGCAAACGAGGGCAGAGTCCTTGCATCTCTGGGCTTGCCCTGTCCCAGCCTATCCTAGCCACCCAGCAGGGCGAGGAACTGGGTTAAATGTGAATGGAAATAACCCCACCTTTGATATGACACTGCACTCCCCACAGGGTTTCTAGCACATTCTGATTGTGTCGGGCATTGTCCTCCCCCACCCATGATTGACTCATCTCAGCCACTGAAGCCCTGAACTCAGATCAGTTTATTTGGACTCCATCTGTGTGAGGGTCAGCTACACAGAGTAGAGATGAACAAGCTCAAGTGACCACTGCTGAGTGCAGATGCAGTGCTCTCAGTCCAGCAAGGGTCAAGGGGCAGCTGCTCCCCCGCCTGAGGGAAGATGTTGAAGTACTTTTGGAAGCACAGATGACTGTGATGGGATGACCTGTCCACAGCCGATGAGACTCCACCCTCCTTTTCATTACTCTGTGTTCAGATCACACAGCAGAGATCCCAAACTCTCCTAACCACAGAGTCAGGAGTCCAAAGCCTCAGCTTAGTGACGAGAGGGAGAGGGTGGGGTGGGCCGGCAGAGTGACCTACACTGTTACATCTACAAGGTGCAAGACTCTGTTCTAGGTACTTTTCCTGATGTTATCACATCTAATCCTCACGATTCCCTGTGACAAGTCTAGAACGGGAGTAAGGAATACAAGCTCTAAAATCAGGCTACCTGGGCTCCAATCCCAAATCTGTTACGCACTGGCTGGGCAACAGTGGGCCAATTACCTGACCTCTCTGTGCCCCGATGGCTTTATCTGTAAAAGACAGACAATAAGGAAATCAGAATTGCTGGGAGGGTCAAACGAGGCAAAACATACAGGGGCTTAGAATACATGGTCCATAGTAAGTGCTATGGACATAGTAAATAATAATGTGATTATTATTAGATAGCAATTATTACTATCATTACTTTGGTCTGTACTTTACAGTTGAGAAAACGGATGCTTGGAGAAGTTAAGTAACTTGCCCACGGTCACCCAAGTAATGAATGTTGGAGACCAGCATTTGACACCAAATGCCTGTTTGCTAAGGTAAACATCATGCCTCCAATTTAAATAAATCAGGTGTCCTATAACCTAAGATCTACTTGCTGGTTAAGAGGGTTTAATCTGGCGGAGCTTCCAAAGGTAAACACAGCACCACATGGCCAATAAAGTCAAAGTGAAGGATGGGTTATGGCACTTCAAAGCCACAAGCTATAATGCACCCAAGTATAACTGGGCAGTCGTTTGGGTGTTACCCACACACTGATCCTGACAGCATGCTGGCTAAATCTCCACTCCATCAGCACAGGGGCAGTGTCATTAACCACGAGTCTATCACAAAGGCCAACAGGCCACTCTGGCTGGGCCCTCGTGCCACTCATGTTTCACAGCATTCCTTTTTCTGTGGAATCCTCAGCTCTGACCCAGGGCCCTCCTAGAAGCACCCAGCCTATGTCTGCAGCAGCAGAAAGTCTTCCACCGGCAGAGCTGGTCTCTGTTCTAGATTCCTCAGCAAATACCTGGGCATTTGGCTCAGGCAAGTCTTAAAGTGGCCCAATCAAGCCGCTGGCTGGGCTGCAGGGCCAGCTCCAGGGAGCAGTCACAGAGAGGACAGAGCACCTGCTCTGGACAAAGAAGCAGCTCGACACCTGAAAAGCTCGGGCAGGGGAATTCATTTCCGCCGGGGTTCAGCCACAGTTTAGACATTAATGGAAGATCAGTTCTGCACAGATTTATTAAGCATCTACTAAGTGCCAGGAGCCACTAGGCTCAGTACAGAAAGATACAGTCAATCTAAGAGAAAAAACCTGAATCACTGAGAATAGATGAACTGCCCAGTAACAAAACCAAGACACCCTGGAGCCGCAGAACGCATCAGAGATGAGGTATGTCCAAGCTGACCAGTGGCAACAAGGAAAAACCAGCTTTCCTTCCCCAAGTCACCAGAAGCAACTTGCTAATTTCTCCTATTGGCATCATGCTCCTTATTAAAGCTAGGGAAACTGAGGCACAGAAAGGGTAGGGCACTTGCCCAAGTAGTGGAGTTGAGATCTGACTAAAGGCAGGATGACGCCAGCCATTCTCATAACCACAGACCATAACCAGCTCAGTGCTGAGCTCAAATCTTCTAAGACATAAAATGCAAAAAACAAAACAGGCTGCTGGGCCTTTATAAGCCCCAGGTCCTGTCCTCATAGGCAGTCTGTTGCTCTCAGCACGTGAGCAGTAACAGCGTCATTTTAATCTGATTTCCTTCACTGAGGTGTTGCATAAATTATACTTGCTGCTCTGTGTCTTACCTTCTCATTCCTTATAGTGTCCTTTGCTGCACAGATATTCTTAATTTTAATATAATCTAATTTGACATTTTCTACTATTCTTAGTGCTTTTTACGTCCTGTTTAAGAAGTCTTTTCTTATGCTGAGGTGATAAGATAGTCACTCACCTTTATTATCTTTTAAGCAGCTTTGTTTTGCTTTGGTTAGTTTTTACCTTTCACACACAGAAATGATTTTTGTATGTAAGTGGCAGATGAGCCGAGTTTCATTTTTCCCATGTGGCTATCCAACTGTTCCAGCACCACTGTTGAAAAGCACTTCCGTTTCCTCCCATCCTGTGCTGCCAGCTCTGTCCAAAGATGTGTGGATCCTTATCTAGGCTCTATTCTATCCTCTGTCTGTCCTGTGACAACACTACATTGTCTTCATTGCCACAGTCTTATAAGAATACTTGGTATCTATCAGAGAAAGGCCTCCCACTTTGTTCTTCAACAGTGGCTTGGCTATGCTTGGCCCTTTGCTTTCCCATGAACACCTTAAAATCTGCTTGTCAGTTTCACCAACCAGCCAGCTCTGCTGGGATTTTGACTAAGATGTCACTGAATCCTCAGACAACTCTGAGAGAACAGATACCTTTATAATACTGAACCTCCTAAACCATGACATGTACTCCATTTATTCAGGCCTTCTTTAAATTTCTCTCAGTAGTGATCACATAGTGAGTCTTTTGCCTAGAGTCCTTGCATACCTTTGGATAGTGTATATAATATTTTTGATATTAAACTGTATCTTTAAATTTTTCACTTTTACTGTTTATTGCTAATATATAGAGCAACCAATTTTTGTATACTCACCATGTATGTATTCAACAACTTTGCCCTTACTATTTATTTCCCCTTTTTTGCACTTATTGTATCTAATAATTTATCTATAAATTCATTTGGACATTCTACACATACATTCACATCATATTCAAATAATCAAAGTTTTATTTCTTCCTTTACAATTCTTATGGCTTTTATTTCTTTTTCTTGCTTTATTGCACTGGAGAGGACTTCTAATAAAATGCAGAGATCCTTTCTGGTCTCAAAGACAAAGCTTTCAATATTTCACCATTAAGTATGATGTTTGCTACAGGATTTTTAAAAATATGACTTTTTAGTCTAAAAAAGTTTCCTTCTACTACAAGTCTACTAAGAGCTTTTATTGCAAATGGGTATTTGTGTAAGACTGGCTTTATTTTCCCTTAAACATTTGGCAGAATTTGTCAATGAAGTCATCTGGACCTGGAGTTTTCTTTGAGCAGTTTTAGTCACAAATTCTAGTTAAAAGTAAAAGACTATTGATATATTTTCTTTTTGTGTGTTGATTTTGCAAAATGTAGTTTTCTAGGGAATCCAGCTCATTTCCCCCTCCAAATTTATTGGCATAAAATTGTCATATTATCCTCATGACCGATTTAAAGACTGAAGGATCTACAGTAATATCTCCCTTTCCATTCTCAACATTAGTTTTTTTGTGCCTTTTTCTTGATCAGTCTCATCAGAGGTTTACTAATTTTTATTCTTTTTCAAAGAATAAACTTTTAGCTTTGTTTGCTTGTTTATTTTAGCTGTCTATTGAATATTTGTTTTCTTTTCCCTTGATTTCTTCCCTTTTTATTTCCTTTCTTCTACCATCTTTGGCTTCAATTTTTCTTTTTCTAACTTTTGGAAATGAAAGCTTAGTTCATTAATTTTCAGCCTTTCGGCTTTTCTAACATATGAACTTAAAGCTGTAAATTTCCCTCAGAGCATAATTTTAGCTGTATTCCACAATCTCATTTATTTTTCATTAACAGTCCTATAAGGAAGGTATTTTTATTTCCTTTTCACAGATGAAAAACTGAAGATCAAGTAACTTGCTTAAGATTATAAATGGTGATAAATGGTGAAATCAAGAATCAGCTCGGCCGGGCGTGGCTCAGCGGTTGAGCATCGGCCTAGGACCCAGGAGATCGTGGTTCGATTCCCGGTCAGGGCACATGCCCAGGTTGTGGACTTGATCCCCAGTGGGGAGCATGCAGGAGGCTCCCCATCAGTGATTCTCTCATCATTGGTGTTTCTATCTCTCTCCCCTCTCCCTTCCTCTCTCTCTGAAATCAATAAAGATATATTTTTAAAAAAATCAAAATCAAAACCAGGTTCTGTGGTTCTAAAATTCATGTTTTTCCTATTATACTATATTGCAGATAATTAAAGAAGTTTATAGGTATAATGAATAAAATGCTGTGAAAATATCAAGAGAGCAAGAATGAATCCTTTCATGAACAGGGCATGGGAAAAGTTAGAAAGAGACTTACAGGGAGATGGGCTCTGCTTAAGTGCATAGGAAAGGGGATTCCTATCTCTAAGGATGGGGGGGGGGG